CGGGTGGTCGTCCACCCGAGGTTCCGCCCGCTGGAATGTTGGTGTGCACCCGGCGGGTGGTCGTCCACCCACTGGTACGTGGCGTACGGTGATTTTTTGGTCTCCGTTTGGTCGATCCACGTGTACGTAAATGTCTTCTTTGATGTCCCGTAAGTCTAGAACGATGTCCTAAGTACCATAATAAGATTTGCGAGTCTTGAATCATGTATGTGGTCCAACCTTGTAATTCGTTGGATTAAAGTAAAGTTTATGATGTTGCTTATGAGTCTTATGATTATCTTGATGTCACTTATCGTCGTGGGCTTGTACGTATGTGTACTTTTCCTTGATGATCCTTTGAATAGGCTATTGTTGAGCCTTGAATGTTATGTTGATGCCTATGTATGATGAATGAAATGAGATTGGAGGTAATGAGCTGCATGCTCAAAATAATTGGCAGTAAATTATGATTATGATTATGTTTATGAAAAGTTGGTGGAAAAGCAGGCGGGGAGCATGGCTCCGAGGGGATAACGTTGGACTGGTGTACATGGTGGTCTCGGAGGTAAAGGTTGGAACTGTTATAAGGATGGAGTGGTGTAAGGTTGGAATGTAGAATAAGGTTGGAACTTGGAACGTGTAACTTGGTTATGGTTTGTTATTCTTGTATCCTATCGTTGTCTTATCGTGTCAATTCTATTGGTATGCCATGAGTTTGATTGGGTTGATGAGTGTATCCTCCAGTGAGTAAATGTCCTGATTTTAAAGCTAGAGTTGTTAAGACTATATCTATGTATTCCCAAGTCTCAAATGATTTTCTTATATATATATATATATATATATATATATATATATATATATATATATATATATATATATATATGTATATATATATTGTACTCAACGCATTTGAGTGGGTTACTTAGAAATTTTCGCTAACGGTTCCTATACTATATGTTTTTCAGGTACATTCTAATTGATACGAGAGAGCGCTAGATGGAGCTGTGATTTCTAGTCTTAGTTCGTGTTAGCATTTAGTTTTGACGACCTGTGAGCCACTATGTTATACAGATGTTATTTATGGATTATGATTAGTTGAATAGTAGCTTGTGCATCTAAGTTCTTAGCTTAGATGTGACATAACATCCACAACTATTATGTTTAGCTTCCGCATTATTTTGATATTAATGTTATATTTTATCGTATTTCTTAAGCTTAAAATGTTTTAAACTATGCCTAAAACCGGGGGTGTTACAAATTGTTACATGAATACTTATGGAGGGAGGATAAAGCACATTGCTGGTCTTGCTGAATGGCCTAAGTCAAACAAGCCAACACCACTGCCCCATTATACACCAGTAGGTTTGGAAGATCAAAGAAATTGAGAAAGATGTCTAACCATGAGATGACCAAATATGGAACACATATAAACCGCAGTTTGAGTGTCAAACATTGCAAGAAATGCAACAAGGCAGGGCATAATGAAGAACATGCCATATTGATCCTACTGCTAGACAGAGAAAGGTATATAACTTAGGTAGCAAATTAATTGTTCTTTGTTTATTAAACTATAAAAATTACACTAATCCATTGCCATATTCTTTTCATCTAGCTAACTCCCAAAAGAAGGAAAATGAAGCAGCAATCTACAACTCAATCTGCAATTTTTGAGCTTGCAACTGCAATTGGAACTGAAGTTGGAGTTGGTATTGAGCCTGCAACTGCAACTGGAAGTAAAGTTGGTTTAGAGGGGGATATCACTATTGATTTTTGGACTGAAGCAGTAGAGGTAGCTGATATGTTTGACAATGTTCCTGAGGTTTGAGTGGGTGTTCAGCAAGAAGAAATCACAATTACTCAACCCCATATGTCTAACTATGTTTGCTACTGTTGGTAGTCATAATAATGTAGTTAATTGTGATCAAAATTGTTCATGTATACATTTTTAACTCTTTTGGTAATGCAGTAAGGCAGTATATGCCCTTTGGTGATTTTTGGTTTTTGTCAATTACATTAGCCACAAGGCAATTTGGTCAATTTGGCTTTAGATAGTATTGCATTACCACATAACATACCACTTTTATTGCATATCAAACCAAATAAACAGTACAAAAATATTATGGGAGCATAGGCACATCTAAACTATCATTCTTCCCTACAGCCATTCAACTCATTACCACTACAATAACAATTACAACAACCATCATGGATTTACATTTTCTACTCCTATGCTTATCCTTCAATTCTTCCATTGTTGGCACGCTTCTCAATTTGGCTTTTAACCTTGCAATTTCTTCTTTCATTTTTGTTAATTCTCTTCAATAACCCGGGTATTATCCTCTTTGACCTAGGGCACATTGGGGGGTCATACCATTTCACAAACCCACATGGTCTATCTTGAAAATTGTGAAAATTCAACTCAACTTTGCGAAATTGCAAACTGCAAAATTGACCCATAGCAATAATTTCAAAATTAAGAAAAAAAAATACAAACCTTACATCTTGAACATTCCCAGTACCTCTTACCTGGATTTTCATTTACCCATGATGTCTTCAAAACCATTTCTTTTCGACATTGACATTGTTGAATTGAAATTCATTCCCCATACACGTAGCACTTTCTCATCGTGTTAGAAGAATACGAAGAATTAGAGCTTTCTCCTTTGTATCTTTCCAGTCAAGCTAACTTTCAAATTGTAGATTGAGATGGATAGAAGATTCGTATTCAATTTGGCTGGGAAAGGGAAATGAAACCAGTTTAAAAAGTAAATGTTAGGAACATTTCTGTAATTAGATTTTGAAGATACCAAGCTTAGGAACTTAGGCCCCCCAATTCGTTTTTAAGTCAGAATAGTGTTCAAGTCTCAAACCTGAGTTATCTAGGCATCAACTCGTGGTACTTAGTCTATATAAAGAACTAGACAAGTTGTTCTATGTAACGAATCATCAGCAAGAACGAGTCAAGACAAGAAGAGTTGAAGACTTGAAGACTCTGGAGATCAAATGGTAGCAAGAAATCGAATCATGGAAGGGTCCACCTTTTGAAGTGTCAAGGTTGAATGATTAAGACAAAAATTATTCGATGGGTATTTGGACGATTGGTGAAGTCAACCAATCAAGAGTGCACACGAGTTGATCTCAATATCAACGAATCGTGAGAACTAGCCAGAGACATCCTCTGAGCATGAATAGTTCACAATCTCGTATGTGGGATGTTTGGGACAAAAGAAGTCCTGGGAACAAATCCTAAGTCAAACTATCATTAAATGCATTGTCCTATTGTGCAATGATAAGTGACAAAAATTGTCAGCACACTTCATGGACCAACAACTAAATAGTAATGACACACACATGCACTCTTTACCCTAAAGTATCTACCCACTGGATAATAGGGTGTTTGAAATTTTGTCTTCCTCTCCAACGGAATAAAATTCACCCTTATAAATAGCTTGTTCTCTCATAGATGAATACAAACATAACAACAACTGAACTCAACAAGTCTGAAATTCATCTAGTTACATGTTCATCTAGTTCTCTTGAAAAGTTCAAAAGTATCAAGTGCAAAAAGAGAAAAAGTTTCATACCCTTTATCCAGATTTGAAGGAAGCTTGAGCTGCATCACCATCTTCATCTAGTTCACGCCAAGCTTCTCAGTTGGAGGAATAAGAAAATCATCAAATCATCTTTCCTCTACTTGGATAAGTAGATAGAGGTGGAGTGGACTGGAAATAGTCGAAAAACCTATATCTTAAGATTGTGTACAGCTGTGTGTCATGAAACAATCTTGGAGTAGTTTTGTACAAAGGAGATAGTGCAAACCTTTACGAGTTGTGAAGAAGAGTGGAGTAGGCCTAGTTAACAACCGAACCACTATAAAAATCTCTCTCACTCGCTCTCTTTATTATAAGCTCTACATTTACATTGCATCATTGCATACTCAAACGTTTTCTAAGTATCAACTCGTGCAAAGACGATTTAAAAGAAGTAAACCTTTCCGCTGTGCATTTAAACTCTTAACGAGTTGTTAAGGTATCGGACTTAACGATTCGTTATAAATTTTCAAAAATCCTACGAATTTATTCACCCCCCCCCCCCCCCCCCCCCCCCCTTCTCTCTCTAGATTCGTTTCCCTATCCTACTGGACCAACAATAAAGGAGAAGCTTAAACATGGAATGACGAAAATACCCCTGGATTACACGGCTTGGAGATGAAATTATTAACGGTGGACCAAAAGTGGAACACTTATAATAAGAGTGGTTGCAATGTGGCAAGGCAAATAATGGTGGACTAAAATTGGAATGAACTCTATAACAATAGAACCAAAAATGAAACTTACTCTCTTTATATTAGAATCAATTGTCTTGATTTTGTGTTCTTGTATTTTTAAAATCTTTATTCCCATTATTGGATCACACATAACCAAACAACATTATTGATAATCATTCTCATTCCACCCTATTAGCAAACATGCAAAATATTTTTACTAAAACTCATTACCATTACCAAGTATTTTGATACACATTCCGATTCTAATTCCCATGTGCGAACCAAACACACCCTAAAGGGGTGTTTGGTTGACATGAATTACATTGGCATTGAATTGCAATTCAATGAAATGATAAAGTACATTGTTTAGTTTGAGGGAATTGCAATTCATAGGTCCCCTATAAATTGCAATTCAATGAATTCATCCATACAATGAAATAAGAAAAGGAAGGAAATGAATTGTAATTTGGTGATAAAAAATAAAGTGTGAATAAAGTAGGAATTACAATTACATTGTTTGGTAGGGAAAAAAAATGAAAATGGGAGAAGTGATATAAAAACTAAAATACTCTGTAATTTTTTTAACGAGGTTGGATCTGACATAAATAGGTCAAACGCAGCCCAACAAATAAAACCCAGTGGCCCTTTAAACATAATCAAAACCTATCTGCTTCTCCCAATATGCAGCAGCTGCTGCGCCAAAGGGAGAGAGAGCGGTTGCTGCGTCGAAGAAAATGGAGAAGGGTGGCAATTAAACAGAACATTAAAGATATATTATACATTATATATAGATGCAAACTAAAGCAGGTCGGTCCGCTGTAGATATACAAGCAGATTTTAAATTTGTTCACACAACATGAGTGATCACCAGTCATTCTAGTCTCCACACATGTACACCAGTAGTATAAGCATATAATCACAACTATATATATATAGTTTAATCTATGATACAAAACGAAAAAAAGAATAGAAGATCAAAGGTTGGTATGAAAAGAATCTGATTTTGTGTTCAATATCAGTTATTATCGCACTGCCATCTCGACGTGGGCACACAGCTTAAATAGTGGCACCAACTGCAACGATCATTTGCGTTCTCTCCTCTAAAGAGCATCGTCAACCCCACCGCAAATCTGTTGCATTTGAACGTGAAAGAAGAGCTCAAAGTTAGAAACTATCAATAAGGACCGCAAAATATATGTACAATATGTTCTTGCATATATATATCTAACACGCACAAACATTACTTCGGTTTAAGGAATGGCAAAGAGTTTTCAAAGAGAAAGTATCGGAGATTTTCTTTTTTTATATATGTTTCGTGTTAGCGGGATAATGAAATAAAGCTTATGGCTTACCCAACGATCAATAAAATCAAGGCAACCACCAAGAAAACGTATTGGAATATAGTGTGCTTGGACTTGTGTCGGCCTTCAGCCGGAAGATTTTGCCTTTCAAGCCAACCAAACTGGGGACGCAGTAGCAGCACAAAGCCGAGAAGAAACCCGCTAATGAAACCTCCAATATGGGCAAAATTGTCAACGTGAGGAAGAATTCCAACAGCCAAGTTGATTGCAATGATAACGACGAGAGTAAAAAGAGCGGCAGCCTGCAATAGGAGAAAAAACACAAGTGATTCATGTCACGTTTCGCAAAACTACATAAAAGAATCTATTCAAAAAAGAACCATTAAAGACAGGATCTAATATTAGTGGTATTTAAACAAAGAACTAGGGATGCCAACAGGTAGGGTACTTGCCTGTTAAGGCATTATATTCCCGTACCCGAACCCGTTTAACTCACTGCTGGAAATTATTGAATTTCCGACCACCTGAAAGTGATCTTAAATCAAGTCGAAAGCAAAAAGTGGTCAGAAATAACAACAAAGGTTTTTCCGGATACCAAAATTGGTCGGAACAAAGCTTTCGACTTGATTTAAGATCACTTTCAGGTGGTCGGAAATTCCATAATTTCCAATAGTGACTTTAGCACTACCCCAACCCGTCCCAAATTCGAACGAAGGTTACCCATATCATCCCAAACCCATTAAATAAAATATATTTAGGATTCAGGAGGGTCGGGTACCTGAAAACACCCAACCCATTGCTATCCCTAAGAAGAACCTATTCAGTCTGCCTATTTTTCATAAGGAGAAAATTGAACTAACGAGAAAATATAAAGATTATGGATGGGTAAACTCTGACGTCTTAGTTGAAAGATGATTTGAGCAGCAATTTATACCTTATTGGCATAAATTGTCCAGTTAGTAATCAGCTCCGACAGCATTGCTCCAAGAAGCCCAAAGACTGCACCAGAAGCTCCGACAGAAATGCTGTGTTGAATGAATAGGGAAGACATAACACTCCCGCCTATTCCTGACAGCAGGTAGATTAGACCTACCCGCACTGCATATAACAAATCGGGAAGAAGGTAAGTCTATACACACATCAATATAACACACCGAAAAGAATTAGAGGACAGGAGATCAAGATCAAATGCCCCAACTAGAGCAGATGACAACTTTATAAACCAAGTGGCACTAATGATTTAGGCTCACAAAAGGTGAACTGTGTGCAAGAGCCCACGGGACTCATAAATTCCAGCTACACAACTCTAATGCGGGAAAATATCATTACAAGTAGCAGAATCGTTAAGAAATATAGTCATAAATCAATCCAAAACGAAATGCGGGGTGCCCAAGTTTCGGTGACATAATGGTTGAAGATTCATTTTCCCAATCTTACAAGATTTGAAAATGAGTTAATACCTAATTTATTCCTCGACCATAGTGGTTTTTCTCGATTTAGTCCTAAATGTCTTTGTGTGCTTAATTGGGTCCTTGACTTTGAGAGTAAATTACCAAAATCGTCCCTCAACTATATCGAAAGTACCGATTTGGTCCTCCGTCCTCGACTTTTTTTCTTGACCGATCAAGTCATCAACTATACAATTTATGACCCATATGGTCCTCCGTCTGTTTGGGGGTTAAGTCGCCGTTTCTTTTTTGGGCAAAATAGTCCTTTTACTCTTTTATCTCATTCTCATATTTAAGAGGAAGAAGATCCACTCTCGTCTCATCATCCAATCGGCGACGGCGATCGGGATTGTCTGCCCCACCGGCCGGAAAGGCCGTCACAACAAGGTCTGCACCGCCAGAGAACTCGGGACCGCCGTGTGCAGCTAAACACCGCAATCCAGTTCAACGATGTTCTAGACCAGCAGGCAGGACTCAAAGAAGATGATCGAAGAAAGCATCTGGGATTCAATCAATCTCATCTCCCCTATCCCTAACCCTAATCTGCGATTTTAGCTTCCGCCACTGTGAGTTTTGGCTTTCGCCACAATTTCTCGCCGATGATAACCTCAAGAAGGGTGAGTCCTCTTTAATTGTAGATTGGTAATTACCCATCTATTATTACCCAATTTAGTCTTAGACTAGTGGTTTATGCCCAATTCAATCTTCAACTATACTGGTTTTTCTCAATTTAGTCCTTGATTCTAAGGACCGAGTATTCAATTAAAACTATCGAGGTCGAGGACCCAATTAAGCACAAAAACACATTTAGGAGTAAATTGAGAAAAACCGACTAAATTGGGTATTAACTCAATCGAAAATAGTCTAAAATGAAAGAGGAAACAAAGTCATACCAAATCCAAATTGCTGCTCAAGGCGAATTCCAATAAAAATCAAGCTCAACATGTTAGCAAGCAAATGGACAACCCCGGCATGCAACCATATGCAAGTGAAAAGCCTCCATCCTTGATGATCATTCACTATCTTGTTCCATTCCAGTGCACCCAATTTTTCCAGTCTGCACAAAAACCAATATGAATTAATAACAACTAATCTTGTTATGTTCTTTATTCTGCTCCAGAAACACATGAAAGCACACACAAACATGTAAAGCCTTCTAATCTTCTTATTACTCATATTCCATCAAAGATCATATATGGTTATTGGTAAAAACAGGTCTGAACTGAAGAATAATTCTTAATAGCATCTTAAATATTGGTCTCCTCAGAAACATTTAGGCTAACTAACAGTAATTTAAGTAAAAACAAGTAAACAACCCAACCTTCTGATAAGTTAACATATCCAATTCATTAAATCAACAAAGCCAATGAGAGAATTGGCAATGGAACACTTTTCTGGATTTTTTAATCAGAATTCTTTGCAGTGATCTTTAAAAACTAAGACATGGATTAGTATAGAAAAGTTCTTCCCCTTTTTTGGTTTGGTTATTCAGTTTTTGCTTTCTTTATTCTTTCTTACCCATAAAAAGAATCAACATTTGAACAATTTAGTTCTAATACTAAAAACAATAAACTGAAACGAAACACGAAATTATATTCAAATAATCAAATTAGAGATCTCAAATTAGCCAAAGATTGGATCTTGAAGTGAGTATTGAAGAAGAAGAAAAGTAGAGAGGAGTTTTTGTTCTACTTACGTAGAAGAAGAGGGCCCAAAAAGGGGATTTTCTCTTAGGGGTTGAAAAGAGAGCCTCCCGAGGAACCTTGCAACACACTCCCCATTCCTCCCAAACCTTCTCCTCTCATCATTGTTAGGGCAATTATTCACAAACATGATGACGATAAACATAGCAACGTTAGCCACCACAATCATGGGCACCAGCCAGGATGTCCACTGTTTCTCCGAGGTTTCCACATAGTACACTGATGATGATGGCGGTACTGCTGCATAGTTTCTTGGTGGGTATGCGCTATTTCTGCCCTTTGTTCCTCCCCCTCTCTCCAGATCTCCATTACCCATCATCTTGTTCACTTTCTTGAATCTACCAAAACAATCAATCCTTTCGTTTAATCAGAAATCACCCTCTATATGTACACAGAAGACAGAAGTGTCTTGGAAGGTGGGAAGGGGAAGGAGATAAGCAATTGTTTCGGTGGGTGTGAATGACGTGTGATTATCGCTGGATTTCCGGTTCAGAAGGCGGTGGAAACACTGAGAATCGATTTTATTTTTACTATTTTTTTCACTATTTGCGCCCGCACGTTGCACGGAATAAATTTATTATAATATTTTTTTTTGAATACACTAGTATTTTTATTATTTTTTTATTTTTTGATACATTACATTTTTGGTACCTGAGAGTAATCCTTAATTCTGAATTAAAGGGGTGTATTCAATCATGACTTTTAGAGTTTTAAAGACTTTTAAAATGATAAATTTTAATAAACTTTGATTGATTTTCATAGAATCGTTCAAAACTTTTTAAAACTTTATAAGACTCTATAAAAATCTATATAAAAAACATTCATAAACTTTTATCAACTTTTTATTTTAAAAAGTCTACGAAAGTCATTGAAATTCTCAATTGAATATGATAGTACTAATTCCACGTGTTAAGCGGTCCAAGTACTTAAACAAGATCAAGTAATAACAAATAAAGGTATTTTATTGATCAAGAATGACCTAATACAACCTAAGTGATTATCCCGAGGGCCGACTGACTGCGGTCAGGCAGCTCTGTAGATAATCTATCGATCGTCCAAAAGTCCCTCACACTGTAGCCGCCGTGGGTACTTATAGCAGCTAGGCCGGAGACACAGCTCCGGCCGGCCGGTATGTGACCCACGTAGCACCCACTCGTCTCCACCCCGTGAGCCCTCTCTGTCAACGTGTAGCATTGCCACGTGCCTCTTCTCGAGATCCTTGACTCTTCGTAAGATAAGGGCCACTAATCGGGTGATAAAGACGAACGGTCGGGAAGTCTACCGGTCGGGTCCGATCGTCTTCTTTTAAGAATACCCTACCTGTAAAATCTGCACAAAGAACAAGAGAAACCGAGCTGTGTCGGTCGGGATATATCCTACCATAATACATCCTTACAAAATATTTATAATATATCATAAAATTTTCTTATTATGTAGTTCTTGATCCATATTTACATTCTCAACATTATTATTTTTATCCATAGTATGTTGAGACTTATATGCTAATTACTTATATATATTATTAATAAACATCAAAAAAATTTATTTCATTAGAAATTCATAACAATATTGAATAATAAAATTTATAATAAAGAATTGATCAAATAAAATATTTAAAAATATAATTACAAGTTGCATAAAATAAACATAAAAATAACAATTTGAGACTGCAAACAACAACAAGGTGTTACTGTTTGCAACCCCAAATTGTTGTTGCAAATAGTAGTTCGCTATTCGTAGTAACTTGTTGTTAAAAAAAATGAAAAATATATATTACGAATATAAACATAAAAAGAATAAAAATCAAAATATATAAGTATTTATATGAATAAAATCAAAATATATAAGTATTTATATGAATATTATGAAACATATACTAAAATTTGATGATGAAAAATTTGCTTTGTTCATGTATTTAGGGAGAATTTGAGAATGTTATAGATAAAAAAAAAATCATAGAAAAAATAAAAATCAATATAAACAAGCAATAATGAAGTAAAAATAATATTATTTTGAATATTTAGAGGAAGATTGTAAAGTTTAGGAGATAGAGAAAAATTGGTAGAGTTTAGGTATGAGGAAAATATAGGATAATGAAGAAAAAAATAATTTTATTAAATTTAGATAGGTTTATAAAGTTTAAATTGGGAGAAAAAATAAAGTTTAAATAGAGAGAGAAAACATTCAAAGTTGTTAGAAAAAAAATTTTGAAATCTAGGGGTTGATGGTTAGATTTCAACTATTTATATTTGAGAAAAAAAAAAAAAGTCTACCAAAGTCTTAAAATTAAAAAGTCTACCAAAGTTTATAACTTTTTGAATACCACGTGACTTTTAAAAACTCTCTAAAAGTTTAAATTAAATACCCCCAAACTTTTAAAGTTCATAAAAGTCTTTAAAACTCTATGAAAGTCATGATTGAATACACCCCCCTAAATTAATCATCATAAGCCTTCAAAATCCGACAAATTACGGTCCACACAGCTGTGTGAACCAAGGTCCAAACAACGTTATTGAATTTTATGTGTTAGAATAATGTACTTTATGAGTTAGAATAATGTACTTTATGTGTTAGAAGAACGTACATTATGTGTTAGAATAATGTATATTATGTATTAAAATAATAAAACTTTTGGGATAAAATAATTTACTTTATGAGTTAGAATAATGTACATTATGAATTATAAAAATGTATGTTGATGTGGGTCGCATACAAAAAAAATACGTGAAATGATGTTGTTTTTGAACTGTGGTCCACACAGCTATGCAGACCATAGTCTACTCAAATCGCTACCTAAAAATTACTAGAGGAGGTAAATTACGAATCGTCTCATCAATCCTCAGTGCCCGTACATTTTATGCACAAAGAGACTTCATCATGACCGGTCAAAGAGTCTTCATTCTTTGAACTAAAATCTTATATATATTGTAAAATAATATTTTAAAGTGATGAATCAAACTATTTGTGGACTTAGCTTATTTCTATTTCTACTATTTTGACATTTGGAAAGGATTTGATTTGATTTAAGGTATAGTTGGAACTTGGAAGCATATATTGCTTGTCCGGCTAATCTGATAGAAGTTAGGTGTGAGAGTTGCATCTATGAAGAAAAAGTCAGAACTTTTCTCACTTTTCAGCAAATTTTTTCACTTTTTTATTTTAGTTGGTGTGATTAACCTTTGACTTAGGGTAAAAATCTAAAGAATAATACTATATCTATTTTTATTTTTACTCTGTTGAGGTGTTATGTTTTAATTAATTTAAAAAATAAAATAAATTATTTTTTATTTATTCATTTTTTTTCACCTAATAAAATTTATACACGTGACAAAAGTTATACTCCATTAACACATAATTTTCCAAACCTAAAAACTTGAAATAACATTTTCACAGTGAAATTTTGATGCCCCAATGAGTTGTCAAGTGCTCTAGCAAAAGAAGAGTCTTCCTCATTGTTGTCATGTCATGAGATCAAATCCTACCTACCTCATAATTTTTTTTCTCATATTTATTATTCCTATTTTAATTTAAAAAAAAAAAAGTTAATTCCAACTGAAGTCTTTTGAGTATAACGGCACTGTCACATTTAGTATTAAATTTTCAATTTAATCACATGTGGTTATTGAATTTTCAAATTTAATCATTTATGGTCGTTTAACTTTCAAGTTAATTGCTCATAGTCCTTTCAACTTTCAAGTTTTTAACCAAGTCTTAACTTTGCCTTACTTAAACTAATGAAAGAACCACGGATGATTAAATTTGAAAATTGAAGGATCACGAATAGTTAAATTAAAAGTTTAAAACAAAATGTGACGATAATGTTATTATACTCGAAGGACCTAGCTAGTATTAACTCATTTTATAAATCATATTGTTAAAGTAATACATAGGTAGTACAAGTGTACAACTATAGATGTAGGAAAAGTTTGGATATCATTAGTCATTACTCATTAGCACCAAAATTTATGGAAATATACACAACCTCTTTTAATGTTCAAGTGTTGAAAGCCACAAAATATATATGAAAAAATAGTTCATTACTCATAATACATGGAGAAAGGCAACCCATAAGGTTGTGTTTAACTTTGCAATATTCTCTCCCAAAAGTAAATATTATTATCATATCATTATATTTACAATTCAACTACTGACTTATATCACTCATACAATATCAATTCATTAGAGTACTTTGCAATGTGTCTATATACTAAGAAATCACTCAAATTTCTCATAAGTTGTCACATTTACCGGTTGTTTGGTATGTGAGAATTTCAATCATTTCCTACATAACTCCATAACTTTTTAAATCTTCTTGTTTGCTTTGAAGGAAATGTAATTCCACGAGTGAATTTGATCAAAAACTTATTTTAGTCAAATTTTTAATTTGATCAAAAAATGTTTGACCTGACTGACTAAGTGACATATTGAAAAATGAAGGTTTTTTTTTTTCCCCTTTAACATTATAGTTTACAACTTATTTTCTCAAATAGAGTTACTTTTATTAAGAGTATTAATATTATTTTATTCATAATAGCTACCTAGTTGTACCCTTCTTAATACTTCAAAGGGAAAATAATGTTTTTACCTATTTGGTTAGATGTAATTTCGTTGTAGTTGCATTGTATTTCGTTTCTTTCCTCAATTATGTTGTTTGGTTGGAGGGAATTGCAATTCCTTCCATTCACCGAGTTGCAATTCATGACACCCCCCATGAATTGTAATTCAGTCATAGAATGGGAGAATATATTGTTGTGAAGACAATTTTACCCTTTCATTATTTTCATCCACTCCCTCATTTATTATTACATAAGAGCATTTCAATCATTGTATCACTTATCCCCTTTTAATTCCCTGTAATTCTATTCATGCATATCAAATACTGTAATTTGAATTCCTACTTTTTTCCCACCGAATCACAATTCCTTTCCCCCCTTAATTCATTCCTTCCAACCAAACGCCCCTGTTAGTCTCCTAATTATGAAGAAATAGCTAACTCTCAATTGATCAATCCCACAATTATATGTAACAACCTCCAGTACTTTTATCCCCAATTATAGTTCGATGGCAATTATAGTATGTCAATGACATAATTGATTTGCTCCTCAATGTCCAAAATTTATAGTGTTAGTTATGTAATTTTTTGCTTTCTTAACATTTTAGCTACTTTAGTTCTAAAGTATTTAATATATTCTATCATCAAGAGACTATATTTGTCATTTAGTTAATAATTGATAGACTAAATGTAGAGAGAGTCAATTATTTTTCCATAATTAAAGAACGTAACTAAAAATATTATTTTCTTCACTTCAAATTAGAATTGTTGTTAGGGAAAATGGCACTTTTTCCCCCTAAGTTATATACTTATAGCACTTTTTCTCCCTCAATTATTTAAGTGGCTCTTTTTCCCCCTGAAATGTTAAATGGACGTATTTACCCTTAAAATAAATATTTCATTTATTTTTATTCTCCAACAAATTATTACTATAATTTGGTTCAAATCAAA